CAAGGGATCAGGAAAGCCGGATGAAAAGATCTCTGGAACCACACGACAATGAGGTTGCTGACTAATGCAGCCTCGTTTTTGTTCTGGCTCTGTGGGCTTTGGTGGGTGCTGCCAGCCCAAAGTCACCTGCAGGAGTGGGCACTTGAGGCCATGCAGAGCTGAGCTGCAGCAGGAGATCAGAAATGCTGAGCGGAGCTGAGCACTACGAGCATTTTACCCAACAGTTTAGATAATTGCAGATAGTTTACATCTGTGAAGCCCTCACTGTTTTGGAGCCTGGTTCTTTGAAAGCTGTCCTTTTGATACAGTGCAGACCAGGGGAGTGTTTGAACTGACTGAAGCAGGAGAGAACTACTGGGAGTGTGACTGATTTAGGATTTACCCTCTCTCATTAGCAAAGCTGGAGTCCAGAATATTGTGTGAACTTGTTACAAAGCCCATTTTTTCCTTGTTTTCTCTCTTTGCTTTCAGGTGATTAAAGGGATCTTGGGATGAGTGTTAAGATTGCCTGTATTTGGTCATTCTTTTCCTACCACTGTGTGTGGTTTTAGTGGAAGGGATGAGAACCCATATGTGGCTGTTCATCCCCAAATAGAGAAAAGAAGTATGATGCTGATTTCTTGTATTACAATAACACATACATACCATCCAGATGACTGAAAACTTTGTTTAAGTTTTTTTCATTCCGGGTTATAAAAACTTACTTAACAATGTCTGGTTGACAAAACAAAGGACTCACTCATTGGCAGTGTTAAATATACAGGCATATTTGAGGGCAAGAATCACTACAGCACATTTTCATACCAAAGGTCAAGGAAGGATGACATACATCCTTGATTACAGTTCTGTAAAGGGATGTAAGACTGGTCTGTAAGTGGTTGTTGTGTCACATCAAAGATGCCAACCCAAGCATTTGATTAAAAGTTGCTGAATATGTTGCACATATAACCTCCCAGGCACTCAGGGGTTTTTTTAACTTAAACTATGGCATGTCTGAAATGTTTATAGATAACCATCAGAGGAGGGAAATTGGATGATAACATTAAAAGGATATTGCATTCATGGAAAATGTTCTGTCATATCTTTGCACATCAACAAACTGTTGTTTAAGGTAGTCAGAGGAACAGAAAAGGAAATATGCAAGGAGTGGTACAGCTTCTCTCTTCAGTGCAAAGTACTTCTATTAGTGTAATATTCAATCAAGGATGAGGTAATTGTGTTCATTCACTTTATACAGAACTGATGCTTATTTTAGCAGAAACTGGGTGAATGCATTTTGGTGAAATAACGGTGTAAGTACCTGACTAAATACACTTATACACACACACACACGAAACCTCCTACAGCTTATCACTTTTAGGGCCCCCATCTTAACCTTCTGTCAAAGAGAGCTTTGAATTAAATGGAGTAGTGGGTGCCCAGAACTTCTGCAAATCAAAAAAGAAAAAGCTCAGGTGTCTGAATTTTAAACAGCTGAGCTCAACGACTGAGATGTTATCATTCCTCTTTCTCTAAATTGCAGTGTTATTGAAGTGAAAGATAGCTTCCTGTAAGTAAAACCGAGAACAGTTATGTGAAAGCCAATTTCTTTCTTTTTTTCCCCTCTTCTCCTTTTACATTAAGTTCTGGCTACCAGGAGGAAAGAACACAGTTCCAGCTTTGTAATCTAATAATAAGTTTTGAATGGCTTTTTGATTAAGGAATAAATAGCTAGATCAAGAAATTTATGAATACAAAATCTTTTGGCCAGCCTCAGCACAGACCCAATTTCACTGGAGAAAATGGCTTTTCTGACCATGGCTGGGTTTGCTGAATGTCCTATTTATGCCATTCAAATACTGCCTCCTAACCCATTCCTGAGCTTCCATCAGTGAATGACACTGCTGCAAAAATGGTTGTGCACATTCAGAGGTACTTAGCAAACTTGTGTAGAATGGCTTAGCAGTCCAGAAGAGGCCTTGGAGTTGGTAAGGGGACTGGAGCACCTCTCCTCTGAAGACAAGCTGAGAAAGTTGGGGCTGTTCAGCTTGGAGAAGAAAAGGTTGCATAGAGGAGACTTCACAGCAGCCTTCCAGTATCTGAAGGCGGCCTGCAGGGACGTCTCACAGGGACTTTTCACCAGGAAATGTAGTGATAGGGCAAGGAGTAATGGCTTCAGACTGAAGGGGGGCATGTTTAGATTAGATGGTAGAAAGAAATTCTTTACTGTGAGGGTGGTGAGACACTGGCAGAGGTTGCCCAGAGAAGCCGTGGGTGCCCCACCCCCTGGCAGTGTTGAAGGGCAGGTTGGATGGAACTTGGAGCAACATGGTCTTCTAGGAGGAGTCTCTGCCTGTATCTGCAGGGTATTTGGAACTAGTTTACCTTTAAGGTCCTTCCAGTTCAAACCATTCTGTGACTGTGGTCTGGCTTTCCTTGGGAAACTTTATTTTTTTTGGACAAAGGAAGCAGATATAATAGTGATATATTTGTCAGTCTTTATATACATTATACCTGTCAAGTTAGTATTTCAAGGTACTGCTAGTTCCCTTTTTTTTTTTAATAGTAGTTAAAACAGTTCTGAAATGCCAGGTCCTGTGGGAGATCTGCAAATAGCAGCCTCGCTTTTTCATCAAAAGACATTCATACAGATGGTTCAGAATGTTTTACTGTTTGGGTATGGTCGTGGGCGTGGTGTTAGCTCTGCTGTTAACCTGGTGAAAAGCACTGGAATAATGCCAGAGGATTGCTTCTGTCTGCACTTATGCAGCTTTGCATATCCTTCCCTTCCACACAGCGTAGAGAGGAACCCACCAGGCACTTGCAACAGCAGAAGCAGAAAGCATCGAGCTCTCCTTCCTCTGTGAAACAAAGATATCTGTGTGGACAGAAATCATCTTAGGCCATCTGATTTGTTCAGGCAACTTCTTTTAATCTTGGGTCTTTCTGGTCAAGCCCTTTAGTCTTTGAATTAAAATTAACTAATCAAAACATGTCTACTCAGGATAGTAAATGTCCATGTGAGATTGCCTCTAATGGTCTTTAACATTTGGATCCCTTCTTTGTAGTTTCACTGGAGGTTCTCCAAAGAAGACATGCACAGCAGAAAAATGAAGAATTCCACAAAGGCTAAATTAAGTACTAGGGAGAAGCAAAGGGCACAGGAAAAGCAAGAATTTGAAGTCACAGAGAACACGAGAAACTTAGAAGCACAAATCTCAAGAGCAGCCAAGCCTGATCCAGAACAGCAGCCAGATGATGTCATAGACTTGAGAGACGAGGTAGCCGGCACCAACGACAGAGGTGCCCACCACGACGGAGCGGCAGTGGAGACGTGTCCTGCCAGCTGTGACACTGGTGACAATGCTGGGCAGGTCTGCCTCAGCCAGAGCGTGCCCGACTACCCCGTGGGGGAGGCTGCTGAGGGTGGGGGCTGCGCGCCAGGGCTGGACAGCTGCAGCGGCAGCGACGGGGCAGCACTGGACATGGACTGCTCCTGTGAATAAGACCTACTTTTTGGGAACCCTGTGAGTGGCTGATACTTCACCAAGACAAAAGAACAGATTTTGATAATCCCCACCACTAACTCCATTGCTCAACTCAGCATTTATTTTGCATTTCTTTGACTTACTTTGCTCCTTAGCACTCTGGTATCTTTAATGTTTTAAATATCTACAGGGCCCAGGCTTTTCAGCCCACAGAAACCGCAAAATTCCTTTCACTATACATAGTGGGAAATGCTCTCCTAGAGCTACACTTTAATTTAAAAAGTAGGGAGGAACAGAAATCATACTTTTTTCCATGACCAACCTTAGCAAGCCAGCTTTGAGCCTGGGTCAGGGCAAGCGTTCGTTCGATCAGATTTTACTATGTAGTACTTTCTTGTTCACGTAGCTTTTCTGGGGAAGTTATTATGCCAGATGTTATTTTGTCACTAGGATTGTAGTGTCATAAACATGATATTTGGACTTCAAGAGGTTGAAACTGAAGTTGGAAAGCTTAGATAAGATGGCTGTTATCTATACCTTTCTCCAGGAGCACACTCACTGATGATACTCTCTTCTGAATTTTATTAACCCTTACAGATCTTTAAGCAGTAAGAAAATTGTGTACCTGTTCAGGCACAGTGGGTAAACAAACCCCGTGGTGAATTTGTGAGGTGGATGATTCCAATACAATTTGGTCTTTTCCAATCAACAGTTCATCAGTGGCTGTGGGGGCTTCAGAAGACAGAAAAACAGGAAACGAAAAGGCAGGTAAAAAGTACTTCTGTCATTGGTTATCCTCACTAAAATTGGAATTAGATGTTATCTCCTGACCTTTTCCAGGTGGTTTTGCACCACTTCCTCGCTGTTATGAAATACCTTGTAGTAAAGAACTGAAATTGTACACAGGGGTCTGTGGCCAACAAATGTCACTAAATGACCTTCCCAAATGAAAATACCCTAACAGACAGTTTTTTTTCATACAAGTAACGATATTTTGGGACTGATACCTAATGGAATTCTGTAAAATTACCAACATTTTTTATGTTTGAAGCTACATAAAAATATTTACAAGTGAATGTACATGTAATATAGTTTCTGTGCCAATGTTCTCCAAGTACTTCAGTATTTTTACAAATGTAGGAAGGAGTGGTTTCTCTCTTCTTAACCACCTTCATTCTTATTTAGAAGTGGTCAAGTAATCTGGTAACAAGGTGAGAAAAACATTGTAAATTCCCTTGCTTTTCTTGTTTTAAAGCAAGAGGTAGAGCTCTGTAAGTGATTAGCTGTTTTTTTCCCTTGACTTATTAGTGCTTGATAATTTTCCTTAGTCTTCAAATCAAAATGCTGTACAAAGGACTATGTTCCGTATCAGATGTGCACCTAGAGTGGTTCGAAAGCATCTTTCATGCCTAAAAATTACTCAGTTGGCAGAACATTGCAGAGAAGGGAAAAATTACATCACTTAAATATTCATTTAGTTGGGATGAAGGCACTCAAGTTTAAACCATTTGATTTCACACACACGAAGCACAGTGGTAGTTTTGTCATTGATTAAAGAGTGGTTTATTTTGAATTCAGTGCTTTAACCACAGGACTGTAAGTAACTTCAGTTTCTGATGCTATTTTTCAACTGTTTATTTGGTATTTTGAGATTACACTGGGGTTCCAATAGCCTCAGAAATACATTGCTGCAGTTGTTCTGCTTAAATACAAGGTCTCTCCTTTGTACAATTTTAAGTTCCTGTTCACAGATTTTATTAGCATAAGATCCTTTTACTGATGGTTTCTTTCTCAAGGACCAGCTTTGTATTAATCTTGTTTAAAAATTCACTATATTTAATGAACGTTTTGCTAGTAGAAAGTGCTGCAGCAGTAAGACATCTCCAAATACTTTTTAATAGAAAACGTTTATTGGATTGCAATTTGACCTTGTTTAACTGAATCCCAACTGCTTACAAAACTAAAGAGAAATAAAGGTCATGAGGAGATTCCTTATTTGTGGTGTGTGCACAAATGCCAGTTATTCATCCCCAAAAGGAGGAACTCGGTTCTCTTAAGTGGTGATGAGGGGAAGCTCCTTACTACTGAATTAGCGGTAGCTACTGCTGCTACAGAACTGGCTACTTGGTTTTCCTTTCCCAGCAGGGCATGGAAGGGCCTGTGGGGAAGTTACACTTGTGTAAATGAAGGCTTGATTTAAAACTTTGTTCCTGTAAAAGCTGGGTTACAGTTGGGAATAGTAGAAGAGAACTTGAATGTTTTTTTCAGTTTCAAAAGGGCAGCTGGTTTGGGGTTTATAATCTCATAATCAGTTCCAACTTGTGATGTTGAATTACTCTGAGCTGGTTCAGCTATCTGAAGTTGTGTGCGTGCTTGTGCTGTGCCCTGTCCCAAGGAGAGTCAGAGAGCCTAAATCATCGCCCAGACAGATGATCCAGATGCGATCAGGGCTGGGGAAGGCAGGTCTGTGGTGCACCAGCAAGGCTCCACAGTTATTACCTGGCTTTTATCTCGGATGCTTTTGCCATTTTGGGCCTGAAAAAGCAGGACCACCAGAGTGGCCAGGGAAGTGAAAGACAGCAGTCAGCAAGTGGTCATCTGAACAAGCCACCAGCTGTTTACACAGGAGAAGTTCAAAGGAGAAAATCCAGCTGAGGCGTTGGAATGGGCTGCCCAGGGTGGTGGTGGTGAGGCAAATGGTGGAGGTGGAGTCACTGTCCCTGGAGGTGTTTAAGAAAAGACTGGGTGAAGCAAATGAGGAATGTCAAAGAGTAGTGGCTGAATTAAATGAAAGATGGAAAAGGGTTTTTTAAATTTTAACAAACAGTGGGGAGCAGGGGCAGAGGGATACAACTATGATGGGTACCGTGTCCAAATTTTTGAAGCATCATAATGAAAATAACTATGTTAAGAGGGGTTAAGTGCACAAATGATGGGACTGGTCCTTCAGTTTGCATTATGTCTTTGATTATTGGATCTGTGCACTTGAAAACAGTATAAATGAAATAGCCCAAAGTAGCTTTAATATATGTATGGAAATGAGGCTAAGTACAAAACAATATACCCATTTCTCCTTAATTTGGCTCTTCTGTCAGCCTTGATTTCTGAGGTGAGCAGAGGAAGAGCTCTGCATTTGGATATCCTGCTTTTTCTTTGTAGTTGCTGTGACTCTACATTTGCCTCAGGGAGCCAATTATAGGGCAGAAATGAAGCATGATCAGCCTTTCATGCAGGAATTTCATCTTCCCAGAACTGAAGAGTATAAGAAAAGCAGATACTAATTTCTTGCTGATAAATATTTCTCAAGTATGTTTCTCTAAGTATGAGGAATGCCAGCAAAGAACACACCTATGAATTGTAGTTGTAGACACAGTTCATATGTCTCTGAGGCTGTTAGTGGAGATGTGCTTTTGGCTTTAAAAAGTGATCCTTGCCAAAGCCTCCATCCTCAGGAAGGTGCCTGTGGTGCTGGATGTGGCAGCTGGCTCTAATCAGTACCTTGCCTATACATTGAAAGGGGAAAAAAGGCTTTTCAGTTTTAAGTGCTTTCTGTTACACACTTACAAAAGCACCCTACTAAATAAAATGATGTAATGGTAACTGAACAGCCACTCTTTTTCCAGCAAATTGATGCAAATACTATAGGAATATTTGATACTTATTGTACCAGATGAGCACACTGCAAGCTGGTATAATATGTGTCACAGGGAGAAAGTTTAATAAGGCTGCAACACCAGGTAACTCATAAACCACCTCCTTAAGTTTAAATGCAAATGTATAGATGGACACATCTTGCACTCCTCATCCTTTATTAAAAAAAAAAAAAAAAAAGCATCAGTCTACTTTTTCTCCTTCAGTAGCTCCTTAGCTGATGGCACAAGTGTAAGAAGAATAAACATTTTCTAAGATGACAAGTTGCACCAAAGTGATGAGAATATTTCTCCAACTCAATAGCAGCTGAACAGCAGGGGCTGCTCTCTGTTCCTGCCAGAGCAGGCCAATATCATGTTTATTGAATTATTTGTAGACCATGTGTTTATATGGGTTAATGTTTCTGGGATGTTATTTTTATCTTCAATTATGGCAGAGTCAGATCCAATAGCTGACTTTAAGGTGAACTGACATCTCACTAAAAGACCGCAAAACTCTTTAGAAAGAGACTTCCAAAAGATTCTTAAGTGTCAACAGGAAGAGGCTGTGGAGGAAGGGTATGTCAACAGCTTTATGGATTTCTTGGCTAAGAAATGGCATTTATTACCAGGTAAGAAAGGACTTCTTGCTCACAGTACCAGAGGTTACCACTGTTTGGGGGGCGGAGGACATGAAATAATTATTCTTGTCCATGTGTCAGGGCAGTGTACATGTGTTTCGTCCTGCTCTTCAAGCGGGTGAGCCCACACAATTAGAGAGATGTGTCCTTGCCCCACAGCACTCAGGTTGAGTGTAACAGGGGATGACAGAAGGAGGTTAGAGGGAAAAGAGGATGATAACAGAAGCAAAGGTTTCAAAATGCCTTTTGTTAAATGGACATTTTGGTACAGGTCTGAGGAGTGTTTGTGAAAGACATGTAATTTGGGCTGCAGAAAGCCCTCTGCATTAAGGGAAGAAAAGGGTGTACCGGTTTATAATTCATGAAATTATTTAGAAGTTGTAAGAAAAACAACATTTAAAGGATTTTTAGAATCTTTTTATCATGACACTTAAAATACAGATGAGCCTAGTGTGTGGCTATTTTAGGGCACCAGTACTTCCTGATAGCAGTGTATTGCACATTCCTAGGAAAACCCTGGTTCTTTCGAGCATCAAGCTCTGACATGTCAGCTGCGATCTCTATAAACACAAAACCCCCTTGGTGTTATTTTTTGTGACAAGCACGCTGTCCTATTTACATTCTAGAGTGAACTAACAAGGAAGCATTCATTGAAATAGGGGTACTCAGAAGGAATCTTCCTCTCATTTGAGGAGGAGGGATTGGATGAGACATCCCCTCTGGGCCTGCAGTGGCTGCACAGGGTGCCAGCCATGGCAGCTGGCAGTGGCACTGCATGGAACAGAAGCACAGAACAGACCTACACACACATGGAACAGACCTAAGTGCATGAGGCTGCAGGCAGCAGAAGGTACAAATTTAGGGGCAAAGCCTCATCAGTATATCAGTACTGTCCCCAAGAGGCAACTCTTAAAGGTCCGTCAATGAGAGTCATCCCTCCTGCTGGAAAATACAGCCTGTCCTTCAGTTGCTTGTGCTTCATATGGCAGCAGGTACAGCATGTTCTCTTTGATGCCCAGGAAGTGCTGGCATTATTTCATTTATCAGTTTCTGACACAGTCCCAGGAGTAGCTTTGTGCTTCACTCAAAGCAAGGGCCTGGCCTTTCCCAGCAGGGCTGCCTCTGCAGTTTGAGGATGAGGTGCACATAGATGTGGCAGTAAGTAGCCCCCAAGCTGTACAACATACCAGACTGATATAAAGAGGGTACAACTGAAGCATTCTGGAGTTGAAATGGTTTCTTGGGACAGAGCTACAGCTGGGCTGGAGGCCTTCTTAGCCAACCACAGGGCTGTTATGCTTGAAAAACAAAGTGCTTCACACCAATGTGATTGCAGCAGGCTGGGAATTGGCTGATGGGTTCAGTGTCTCTGCAACCCCTAGTTAAGGCAGAGCAGGGAGACACTGATGGCAAGGAACTTGCTGCATTACCTAGTTAACTATGTTTGAAACATGTAACTCGAGGGAAGGAGCCACTAACAAAGGGAAGGCCTTATTTATAATTTTTACTAATTCAATATTAATCAGTATTTTTGATAATTGTTTCTGATTGAGGTCTTCAAATGTACAACAGAAATCTCTGCCACTTAAGGACTTGAACTGTCTATGCAGATAATGAACAAACTCATTATAGATTTTGTTGGTCTCCAAATGTCTATGATGAGTTTTTCTAAAAGTTGGACAAAAAAGGTTCATTCAGGAAGGACTCAGGTGTTGGCCATTACACCCAGAGGTACACTCCCGCCTTGCAAAACCAACCTTACCAAGACTTTTCTCCAAGCATCCTGGAATCCCCTAAAGCTCTGTACTTTATGAAGCAGGACTGGGGAGATTCCCCATCTTGGCTGTTCCTGGCCAGTGCTGCTTTTGAGGACACAGCCCATGCAAGCACAATCTTGGCGAACAACCTCAGCACCAGCACATATTCAGAGTAGGAATTCCTAAGACTGCTGCACTCAACACTTTCAACTCAGGGCTAAACAGGATTATGAGAAAATATCTTCGTCAACACAAATGACTTACTTATATAAACCACATAAAAGGTGAGGGTTTTTTTCTTTTCTGAGAGGAAATGGCAAGAGAAGGAAGTCACAACACAGCAGCTCCTCTTCTATAAAAATAGTAAATGTATTATATAGAACTGGGGAGGGAAGTGTGTACTCATTTGGAGCCGATTGAGAGGTTGGGCCTGAATTATCCTTATAAACAGACCTGGCATTGCTGCACAACTAATTCTTTAAAAGTGCTGAATCTGACACTGAAGGTTTTTTAAAAGCTGACTTAACAAAGCAAGTTCAGAATGTGAAAATATGCTGCTACCCGTAAGAAAAGATAAACCACCAAAAAACCAGAAGAGTTAATGTCTTTAATATAAAATCACTTTTCTTTCCCCCAAAGCAGCAGCACTGTATTGTAGGTGTATTACAGATAAATTATAGGACCACTTTCCTTCTGTACTGAGGACATCTTCATTAAAATCTTCGAAATAATTCATAGTCCATTTCTGTACATTTCAGCTTATCAAAATGCACTGGAAAAAATAATATTTTTTCTCTTCAGCAGGTGTCACTACCACCATTTCTCAAAGAAAACACAGTTTCTAGGAACACCAATGTTAGTGAGCAGCTTGGACATAGATTCTATCATTGGAGGGGGACCACAGATGTACCATGAAGTATCATTAGATACGTGTTTCTCTAGATCCTTTTCAGATATTCTTCCCTCTGACAAAGAAAAAAAAAAGTAGGAAATGAGAACAAAAATATTAATCATGAAGTCGCTTCAAAAATAATGTCTGGTTAGAGGTATTTCAAACAGTCATTTCTTAAAAATACCTGGCCTGTTTCAGGATAATAGGTATTGAGATTTAGGGCTTCCAAAACCATTTGTTCTTCTGGGGATTTAGATCAGTGCTCTTACTTGGAATGCAGAGGGTATTAGTCACTGAAGAGAAATACGGCTTACAGATAAGTAAAATCCCAAATTCACATGAAAAAAATAAGTATCTCTACGCAAAGACAGCAGACATGGAAACATGCTGAAGTATCTCTTACAAGCCATCAGCTTATCCTTCATCAATCCCACCTCAAGGAAAGTAAACAACATTTGCTTAATAGTTTCTGGAATAAAGTCTGCAGTGGGAAATATCCATGTAAAGTTTAGGATTAACAGAGGAAAACAAAAACTGCAAAGAGAAAACTTTACCACAGAGTGGAGTAAGTACAGAGAAAATATTTAACTCACATCTCATTTTGTGCCTTTAAATGTGAAAATGCTGGGTTATTATGCACAACTTCATCCAAGTTTGATGTAATCAAACTTGGGCTTCAGATAGCATCTCTGTACAGTGCCATGACATTTACCTGTAATGTGTGGCTGCAGTTCTTGACAGATCTGCGAGCGCTGCTGGGTGACGTGGAAACAACATGTGATCTTTCCAGGAAACGCCTTCATCAAACCAAGAATATTTTTCTGTAATGTTAAACACACTTGCTTACACCACAGTCCATTAAATCAAAGCAGATGTATGCACACAGTCCCAGAATGCCTGTGACTATTACTGGGAATCAAGACTTTGCATTTCAGCACCGAGAACCTGATGAGTGTGATTCCACAGGCCTGACCTGCACGCACACACAGAATTCCCACACTTGGAATGCAAATACCCTGCCAGCTATGTTAGTGCTTTTCTCCTTTTCTGACACAGATGACCATCTGGTAAGATTTGGACCGAAGATCCAGTTAAGTCATTTCCCAATTTCTTCCCTGTATGAATTCTCAGTATTTCCTCCTTCTATTTCCATAGGGGTTTTCCATTTAAAAAAAAACAACTTGCAGTATGTATTTACCATTAGTTAGGAACTTTTTGAGTCTCATTTGATTTATCTGATAAGGTCACTAGACCTTTTAATGTCTCATGTTCTCAAGTAAAACCAACTACCATGTAATGCTAATGTTATTTTTACCAGAGTAGATAGTATAAACTCATTTTCAGTTCCCTAAGTCACAGCTGCGATAAGTTACCACCAAACCCCCAGCGGCTTCAGTTCAAATCATAGCAAAAAAAGAATGTGTTAGTCAGATGCTGTAGTTAGTTCTGAAATTAAGATTTAGCTACTGTCTAGATTCTGCATTATAGAGGATTTTCACTGCTGGAATAGACACTCAAATTCTTTAAAATATTCTGAAATACAAATAATTTCTAGGCAAATTCGCTTATTTTGTTAAGTGTTTGCTTGTTATCTAGTTACTACACTGAGTCTGTCCTGGTTTGCTTAACAAAAAAAACCTGGAAGGATTCTACTTTGTAGAAAATCTGTTCCTGAATCCTTAAAAAGATACGGGATGAAGAGCAGCACATATTGCCGCTGCTGTACAGCGTTCCACCAGCACCTCTACTATTGACTTGCTGTCTTTGTACCCCTAATATGCTGTTGCTTCTATCATTTCCACTAAGGGTATTTCCAGAGCCTCAGCCTGTGACCTCCAAACCATCAGTAATAACCCAGCAGGTCCCAGCTGGTCCTCCTGGAGATGGTCCACATCCTGCACAGATGTTTGTTGCAACAGCATAAAGGCTGCTAGAGATTCCATCTCCTCAATCCTCTGCACAGAACTGAAGAATTTTGACAGACATGTTCTGGATCTGAGGGACATGTGAAAAATGAAGGGAGGGATTTATTTTAAGCACTGTGCATGACACTGTGTTCTCTTCTGTCCCAGAAGCTTTAGTGCAAAAGATCTGCTGTCATAAAACTGCTTAAGTGAATGCCGGGAATGTCAGTACTGGCACTGGAAAAACCTGTGCCTGCTTAGAACAGACTGGGAGATGAGTAGGTGGCCAAAAGGAAGAGCAGATTATTCTGCTTCTAGCAACAAACAAATGACTTTTCAAAGAAAGCAAATATCTCTATGTCTAGAAACATGGTAGAAGTACAGAAATAAAACTAGTGATGGATCCTATACACTGTTTCTGGAATCATCTTCATCTTTGTCTTACAATCAAAAGCTTTCAATACTTAAAAAACCCATAAATCATTCTGGATGCTTCTTTACAGAACCTCCACTAATTTGACCCTAAAATATTATTAATAACCCTTAATGGCTGAGTGTGACAAATGATCTTTAACTGCTGAGTAAATGTTGATGAAGTACTGCACAAGCAGTTTTAAAAGCAGCTATAAATCATTCATACACTAGTACTTGTTAGTAACTAATGCATTATCAACAAAGCTCTTTATTTCAGAAAGTATTAGTGTGTGTATATACATACATATATAATCTTTAGTATACTATGATGCTCTTAGAAGATGGTAACATTGATGTGCACACTAGTAGCTGAATAGCTGAGGCATGTATTTTTAAAATACTTTTTGATTTACCTTAAATAAGAGTTCGCTCGTATTTTTTGCACTGTAGTACAGCTTCGCTGTTCCCAATTTGTGTCTATTTCCTTTACCCTCTTGGTATCCATGAAGATCTGCTATATGCAGCAGTATAGAAAACAATGGGTTAATTCCAACACCCCCTGCTATCAGCACTAGGTTTACTGGGGAGTCACCAGGCTGAGGATCAAAGAAGAAATCACCTCCCACTCGCAGAGCCACTTCTGAGTCAAGAGTACACTAGGATGGAAAAGAAGATATTTAATTTCAGAACTAAATGCAAAAGTTGAAATCTTATTATTTTTGCATCCCAGTCACAAGGTTTGCTGGGCTGTGATTTTTAATTGACCACTGAACTAAAAACAGACGGACTTTAAAATATACACACATTTCCCAGATACCTGAAGTAACCCAGTGTCTCTAGTGATCCAGTTCTACTTCAAAAAGTTTCAGTTTTATGGTAAGGCAGGATGGTGACTCCCCCTTCTTACCCACATAAGAATTGAAACAGGAACAATTCACAGTTTTCCAACAGCAATATGTGGTTGTGAAAACCCAAGCTCAACATGTGAAATCACACTTTTACCCAAAACCAGCTTCATGCCAAAAAAGGCCTTCCTATGAAGTCACAGAAGGTCAGAGTCAAGTTGCACACACAGGTTTTTCCATCCCCATTCCTTAAAATTAAAAACCACCCAGAAGTGAAGCAAGTATCCACAAGAATATTTCTTGCAGAATCACTTCTGCATTTGCAACTTCAGAGATACAGAAGAAAAATCAGGGGGAAATCTTCTCTCTTACTCTCCACTTGTATGTAAGAAATTATTTCCTAAAGAAATGTGCCCAAGCATGTTTTTTTGATACATGGAAAACAAAAGGTACGACAAGAAAATCCACTTGGGTCAATATCTCCTTGGTAAACCAGCACTGCATCCTGCTCTGAAGGGTGAAGCTACAGTACAGAGAAGTCAGGTGAGTTCTTCCACATCATTGCAAGCTGACAGAACAAATAAGAGCACTTAGGCCATATATAGGTTTTAGAAGATAAAATTAAGAGGATAGGGAAACCAAGGAAGGTGGGAATGGTGAAGAACAAGCTGTAACAACTGCTGAAAAATTAGCTTGGAGAATGAAAACACTTCCTCCAAAGAATTCTTTTCATAGCAGGAAACAGTAAACTGAAACAAAGGGAGTTCCATTAATGAAGGCTGCACAGACAGCTAAGGTCTAAACGTGTAACAATTCCACCAGGAGCAAGAAGGACACCCTTGGATGCAGGTACTGCATAGAACACACAGATTCCAAAGATAGTAAGCATGATCACTAAAAACACAACACGACAACTTTCTTGCTTTTCTTGATTATGGCAGAACTACTGTCTCTCAAGTCTGCTGCGGGACAATGAGCATTCATTATCTGAAACTGATTTCTCTCTCCCTTGTGATGTACTCTGCCAGGCTTTCCCACCATGTTTTACTCTGGTCTAGAGAAGCACAAATCCACATGTGCTCCAGATTCATGTGGCCTAAGGAGGACACAGAATATGGTACCCTTTGAGGAAAGGAGGAAAGAAGCATTTTTAGGGAGAAACAATCTCACATTGGCCCCCTTAACCAGCCATAGTTCCTCAAGATTTAACCTGGGATTTGGGAAGAATGTCTCTTAACCAGCAGTCTTCCAGATATTTCCATGTGTCCTAGGGTGACTTCCCCCTTCTAGACAGACCCCTTTGGAAGTTTTCTCCCAGATTTGCCCTAAACCAGGACACCATGCTTTGGCAATGACAATGATAACAGTAAGTCAGTATACAAGAAAAAACAGTAAAATTCTGCAGTAATACCACAAGAAAGTGTCCTTTAGACTAGTTTATAAACACAGCTCAGGCAGAGAAGTGAAGCAATCAATACATTACATGGATATTTTTTAAAGAAAAGGCTATATCTTCCTGAAGTTATATAAAGTACATGGTGGTGAAAAATACTATTTTATGTACAGTAATATTAACAAAAGATAACTCTAAAAACCACAGATAAAGTAAACTAGGGATAACTATTCCTGTAACATTTTTAACCTGAGATATCAACTTCCTTTAGGAGCAACTTTTAAACATAAGCACCAGTTTTGTCACCATATATACAACATTTTCGAATTCTAGGTTGCTGGTATTTTGCTTGTTTCCTAAAAAAAGCATACACTTTAGTTTAGCTAGAAGAGTCCATGTATCCCTGGAGGTTTCTCCATGGCATCAGGTTTGATGTAGCTTACCCCTTAACTAAAGATTTATCCTATAAATTCCACCAGAAAACTCGGCAAGAAAAACTGATCTACAACATCAAAAGTTCTGAAGGAGTTTCCAGAGCCTTTGAAAAGAACAGAAGTTGATAGGACAGATCATTGATGAAACATGTGACTCATTTGACAAACTCAATGGGGTAAATGATGAACAAAACACCACAAGGTCAAGTTTCAGATTTTACTTTTAATATAGCAAAACCCCAAGCCTTGTGTTGTCTTTATTACAAAAATATTGTGTATTTGAAAGAATAGTATAGATATTCTGAAATGTTTTATCATTTCAGAAAAAACTGATCAAAGTATCTTCCTTAACTTCCCTTTAATAATCTACATCTATCTGTGATTTATCAATGATTCCCAGTTTATATTTACAGAAATAGTCAGGAATTACGGAAGGTTATCAGAGGTAACTTTGTAATGTGTAACACTCCCTGTTCTCAGGGATGTAAGTTAGAAAAGAGGTTTTTAAAAATTTTTAAATTCATTAATTCCAAAGGAGTGAGAACCCTTTTTATATACTAACTACAATATCACTTTAAGTTCACTGTAAGCATAAGTGGTGTCAAAAGATCACAATAACCATATTTCCATTTAAACATTCAGTTTCAGTCCCTTACTGAATAAAAGGTTTTAAGATTTACATTGTATCCAAAATGCTTGAAGTGGAACATGAGTTTTGCAGTTAATAGCACAAAGTGGTCTAAAAACACACACCACCCCCTCTACCTCCAAAAAAAAAAATATTAAGAAATGGCAGCAAGCCAAATTTCACAGTTAAATTAATTTACCTCAGTGTGAATCCAGTGAGCAGGAGGATGAACAGTGTGCTTTACTGCCAGCTCTAGTATTCCTTCTCGTTCTAACAGGCCAGGGCTTGAACATATTGAGAATCCCCCAACTACAGATACTCCAGGAATAAAGAAATCAACCCTAAAAATAGATCAGACACAAACGTTTAAAAAAGAAGCCAACAACCCCAAACATGAGCAACAATAGCCAAAGTAATGTGGCTGACTTTGTTTCAATTATCTTTCATTTACAACATCTTAATTTCTGTAACATAACTTTTCTGAAAAGGGAGTTAACCTTGAGTAACACCATTTCCTCAGAATTATTTTCTTCTAGAACCATGTCATCATGTTTGCTAAACTAGAAGCTTTTCAAACCATTCTGCTTTTAGCATTAGATGTCACATCTCACAGCGGACTAGAATTCTAAGTGTTTTAAATAAATTATTTGCATATTAGAACAAAAACATAATTATGGTCTGATAGAGCAGCTTAATTCCCACTCTTTGATGGGAAAATCTTCAGTTTTCAAACATAAGAAGATTGGCATTCTAATTTTAGGGAAATTAATTTATATTGAACACTTTCTTTTCCTGGGTAGATGAAGTATTTGAAGTGAAACCAGCAGTACGAGTAAAACTTCCCGTGTAAGAAGTCCACAACTGGCAGCAGGACTGCAGCTCCCTCTGGTGGCACATATCACTTCTTAGGTTATCAAAAATTGAACTGGAATAAATTCCTACTTTTTTTCTTCCAGCTTTAAAGTAAACCATGCATGAGTTTATACAAATAAGAAGGTAACATGTGGCTAAACTTCTGCAATACCAGCCATTAGAGAGTATGGAAGGCAAGCCATTACTATGTATGAACTATAATCCAGTCTCATAAAAGTAAGGTTTTGATAAGCCTTGATGAGGTTTCAAGAAAACTATCAGAAAATTATGAGTTGGTTTGTGATCTATCACCTGAACTCCGTGTTCCATAAATATTTAAATGCTTCTGCTTTCTACAGCATGTAACAAATTCCACATATTTCAAAATAAACCAAATGTTTATAACTAGTTGTGCTGGTCCCCTTAGGAAACAACCACACTGATAAACAATGTCACGTACTAAAGAACCATTATTCAATTCAAGCCTGGGTTAGGCTGGCTCAGTATTAGTTAAGTGAGGATGCAACAAGAAATACAGACTGGCCTCTACTGCAAAAGTATTTTCTTTAAACAGTAAGGCTGTATTCTTCACAGAGACCACAAATACTTGAGGAAAGAGAGAAGGACTTTGAGTAGATCACCACTTTTTGAAGAAAAAAAATCTTGTCTGCTTACTCCATGCAAAATTGACCCTTTGAAGAAAAAATATCTTACTCTCAAAGAATGCATACAGTGTGATATATACAATAGTGACACAATGTTTAACTTTATGCTTATAATATCTTGATGGTGCATGAAGATACCTGACTGCAAATGAACAGTTTACAACCAAAAAAGTTGAGGAGGCTTTTTTCAGTGTCCTCAGCTTGTGCAGCCCCACTGCCCGTGGGGCCCAGCTTTACTGAGTCAGGCTCTGGGAGCTGAGAAAGGTCGACTCTTGAATTGCAGCGTTTATCATGCCAAAGAACATCTCACCATGCTGCTGAAGCTCTTTACCTCCCTCTGGTGGAAAACAACCTTACTACTAAAGATGAACTTAACGAAAAATATGAGAATTTATGCTGTGAAGTCACAATTTACATTCAAGTCAAAATGTTCTCCTTGGCATGTAAGGGAAACCTTATTCATGCCTGGTGGGGCAACACACAAACATTATTGCAAAACCTACATCAAACATAGTTTTTACCTTTCCTACATACTAATGCAGATGTATTTTTCTTTCCCAAGTACATAACTATGAGAATTGATTTCAAGGCACAGTTTACTATCTTACAGGGGACTAGCTCTGATGGCTTGTCTCAGCCATGTTGGGAAGGGTGAGTGGGCTCCTGAAGAAATGTGACAGCCTAAGGGAAAAGAGCAGCAGAAGGGAAAAAAATTTAAAAAAAAATAAAAATAAAAAAAACCACAAGGAAAGGCAAAAAAAAAAAGTGAACTAGAGATGTCAGGGTGGTTTTTCACTTCCCTCCTTTTAAAATCCACCTAAACCATGTCTTTAGGAAATGAGTAATAATTACCCATTGCTGGAGTAAGAGATGAGAAACACTAAAATCATAAAGCTGCTTCCTCAAAGTATTTGTAACATGCATATACCTCAATGCATGTTTTTGTAAATTAAAAGGTGTAACAGCAACAAGTCTCTTCATTATTATTTGAAGTCAGATAAAGACCAGTATCTGCCAAAGTGCTTACAAAACAAATTCACTTTTGCTTCTGAAAAACTCAATAATTAGAATGCTTTCAGGAAATGTAAACATTTTAGTGACAATCTTTGGCTGTAACATCTTACTATAGCAAATCCCAACAAGTTAGCCTTTTCTGCTCAGGAAAATGTGTTGTTTTGTACTGCTCATCAAAAAAATGCAACCCCAGTTTATAGATACAAGTACAGAGAAGTTGGTGTGTACCTTACAATAGCATTAGAACACTCTCAAGGAAGAAGAAAATGAAGAAGAGTAATTATAATTAAAGCTTTCAGTTTTCAGCATGATAATTTCAAAAACATTTTTGGAGGGTAAATGTACTTTGCAAGTACTGGCAAGCAAGAATTTAATATGAGTCACTGCACATGTGCAAAAACTGCAGCAAATTACTTCACGAACAAATTATTGCTAATCAGCATCTTGTGTTCTGGTTCTAAATTTAAAAGCCAGCTTATTACCACTCCATGAGTAACATATGTTGTTAATACCCTAGCAGCTATACTTTGATTTCAGCAAACCCACTCTCAGATGACCAAAGCAAATAAAAAGTTTAATAGCATTAAAACGTCCATTGCCAAAAGCAACTATTCCTAGTTTTAAATTAATTTCTAAGAGAAAAAAAAAAGTTACTGAGTGAGAGTATTTTTAACAAGGATAACAAACATGAAAATCCACTGCTTCCTTGGGGAAAAAGAACTCTGTAAAATTGTTTAAACAAACTGCTAATTGTTTCAAAAGCTTAATAATTCAAGGTTTTTATTTTCAAATTTGGCTATTTATATTAATATATTACTATTAATCTGACCTAAGAGGTTTAATTTTCAGAGTGGAAACTTTAAGATGAAGAAATAAACCACAACTAAGTAACTTGCAAACCAGCAGTCTCAGCTCCTCTGTAAAAACAACTAGTAAATAAAGACAGCCTGCAGAATAAACTGTAGTGAATTTCAAAGTACTCCTGAAGAAACAATGTAATATAATAAAACACAGGAAAACATCAGAACAGTAAAACTGAACATTTAAAGAACATGCACTTCTGCCCTTTTAACAGTAATATTAGCATTTTTTATAATGACTATTTAAAACTGATGCCAAGTATCAGCTCTTTGACAGAGCATCCAATAAGAAAACAGTGTATTATATAAATTAACAACTTCTTCCAACGCCCAGGGTTCAGAGACCTTTCAGCACTTTGTTGTAGTGGACTTCTCCTAGTCATTACCCCATCAAATATACCAGAAGATCTTACCATTGTCCTGCTTTGAAAGTAAAATCCTTATTTGCAATTGCCAAACAAAGCCTTTTGACTGTCTCTGATTCATTGGTGATTCCACACACTTTTGCTTGTGTAATTACCTAACAAAAGAAAAAGAAGCCATTGTGATATGTAGGTATAATTTGCAGCAAAAGCACTCAAGAAGCCATGCATGAAACATCCATCACTTCCCACGGTACCCATGGCATTTCATTACCTACAGCACCAATATGTTTCACTGAGGTGATGAAACAGAAATGGATTCTATCCCTGGAAGTGTTCAAGGCTAGGTTGGATGGGGCCCTAAGCAACCAGGTTTAGTGAAAGGTGTCCCTGCCCATGGCAGGGCATTGGAACTGCATGATCTTTAAGGTCCCTTCAAGCCCAAACCATTCTGTGATGCACTTAAATAGTCATTGAATGGAGAACAGTGTTTGTACTTGCAGTCTACTAGATCTGGCACTTTGTCTAAGATTGTAAACAAACTTACTTTATTTCAGTTGAAGAGAACATAGCTATAAAAAGAGGTGATTGCTAGTTATCACTTATCAGATTCTTTAGGTATCTATACAAGACACAAACTCCTGCATCTTCCAGCAAAACAAAGTAAAAAGATCTCTGATATAAGGACAAAGGACACTTGTAAAAAATCAGTTGCAGATGAAGTCCCAGGGAGAATTCTGGATCTAGATTTATTTAAGTAATTAAATGCATTACTGAAAGATTATGCATTAATGTTAATGCATCAAGGAAAGAAAACTAACAAGCCTTGTGTTACTGCATTTACCCCCCTACACCCCCATATGACCACAGGGAAACCAAGACACAAGGTCTCATGGCTGGTTAACAGAGCAGATTTTGTTTGGCAGCCACATGGGAGGGGATGTCAGAGGCATAGATGATACTACTTTTAAGGAGTTTTAAAAAACAAACGAAAAAACCCAAAAAAACCCCCACAGACTTTACAAGAAGATCCATTGGGGATGAGCAGCCAACTTAGGTTCTTTGATGCCCGTCAGTGCAACATGGATTTTCATCCCCTCCCTGCCCTTCCTTTTCAGGTTTTTCTGACCTATAATTATTAACCTTTTTCCTCTACAAAGAAATCAATGCCCAAAATGAAATGCGTATTTTTCTACACAGAGCAATACACACATTTTGCTGTTAAAAATACTGATGTCACCACACAAGGAAATACTCAAAATACCACCACAACTCTACCATTTCTCATTTGTCTAAGATCAAACAGATAAAAAAACCCCAAAACTTTAAGCAACTATGCTGTAATTTAAAACATATGTCAGGAAATTAATTTATTCATGAAGCAACATCTGAACACGTCCTTTGCCCCATTAAACAGCAGGACATTTGCTAATTTAAAATGAAGTAGCATGGATTCCTGTTCCACTTTAGCAGACAGTATTAAATGAGGAATGCAGTCAGTCAAAATTAACAAGAGGAATGTCAGATACATGACTTCAGTGGTTGTTCCAATGGAGGGAGCAGGAAAGGGACATTAAATTTGGATCTTCTTTACTCTTCAGTACACTCCTTAATTTGTTATTTGGCTGGGAGACCTGCAAGAGTACTGGAAATTTAGTTCTTAATTGTTACAAAGTTATTTCAAAAATTAAATTTGAGTCAGGATGATCAAAGACAGCCAGTATTCTGGACCATCATAAGGGTATCCAACTGGCCAGAGCAAGGCTGCAGTGAGAGGGAGGAGGACACAGGACTCTGGATTTTGCAGCTGTATTTCAAGAAAGCATTAGTCACTTTTCCTTGCCCTGGCCCTTCACATTATCACTCTTCAACAGGCAATGTTATGCAGCATTCACACTAATGCAGTACAGATTTATGATTCTTTCATCTTTTACAGGACTGAAGTGGCCAAATAAGGCAATATTGGCTGAGGGAAGCAAACTGCTGATTATATGGAATTTAAAACCAAGCAGAGGATTTAAAATAAACTGATTTTAAAGTGGTCGGAAATAAAACAACAAAGAATAAATCAAGCATTAAAAAAAAGAAACAGCATAATCCTCTGATATGCAGAGAATGTGCAGTATCAAGAACTGAGCGCTGCTCTTTCACCTATCTCATGCAGCTTCCTTCTCTTCCTTGTGCCTCACAGTTCCCTGCATCCACCCTGAGTTTCTAACACCCCATAAGGATCATTTTCCATGTATTTTTCAGGTACTGCCATTGAGCAGAGAAAGGAAGCAAACCAAGCAATAACTATAAAAAATATCCCCATGACTGCAACACTGAAAAGTGACATCATTTTTTTCATGTCAGAAGCAAATGAGAACATGCATTGGTCTGTGCCTGTCTCTACATCCATTTTGTTGGGTAAACAGGATCCACCACAGCAGCTGGATGTCAACAAACAACACTGATGTGTACTCAGAGAAGAGCTGGCATTAAATGTGGATACCTGAGGCACAGCTCCAAGGTTCCCAAAGCTGGCTCACAGCTCTGGTGACAGGCAGAACCTGTCTGCTGCATTTGTCTCATCCAGCTACAGCCCATGTCACACAGTGCTGAACCTTCTCTTTCGGGGGCTACCTACATATTCCCTGCACACAGCTTCCTTTTGGTAGGATGTGACTTATTCTCCACTATAGTTCACTAAAAACTTAGCAGAGAAGGACTTCATGTACACACACTGACAGTTGTGTGGTGTGTTTGCATCTGTGTGCATCTACTTCAGCTTGTTACAGAAAGGAAATATCTGTATGAAATAAAAGAATACTCTTGTATTCCTTCTTGTGTTCCCCTCTGAACATTATGAGAAAGAATGTTTGCTGCTCAGAACTGAGATCCAGAATAAGCATTTCTGAATTTAATGGAGAACAATGCTCTATCTTATTTGTATTTGTGAATTAAAATAGATACAACTGAAGATCTTCTTTACAGCTATCATCTCTCTCTCTTCAAAATGTCTACACATTTGCCTTACTCCTATGTTATAAAAGGACATTTTTACATTTTTGAATCTCAAATCTGAACCAGAATTGTAGAAATCCATAAAAATATGGGAAGTCTGTTTAGAGATGAGGGGTATCCACATGCTTTCATTACTTATTATAATTCATATTTGGCCAAAAAATCTATTAAGTTTCTTTCCCAATATAAAGTAAACAGCATTATATCACTGCAAAATTTTAAAACTCATTACATTTCACCCACTGAGCACTAAATATGCTAATTTTATACCAGTAACAAATATAAAAAATAAGGAGAAAAAGAAGCCAACCAGACTCCACCAGAAGGCAAAATGGAGCCTAAGAATCAAATACTATTATCCAATATAATTACCTTTGCAGCAAAAAAAATAAAAATTACTTGCATCCTAAAGAACAGAACACTAACCTCCTGTCGAAAATTATTTGCTGTCCTCTCTAGATGATCCATTTTCCTTTTTGATTTTATTGTGCTGCAAGAAATAGCAAACAAAGATAATTGTCATTTTGACAGCTGTGCTACTGTCCCTTACTGATATGAATTTCTATTAACATAACAATTTACCAGTGTAATCCAGACTACAGATGACATAAATCTAAATAAGAATTAAATATAAATACATAATTGGGAGTTAAAGTAAGCATTTACAGGTCTGTAATAATTTGTCAGTCTGATTTTGACTGTGTTACCATGGCAGTCTCTTAAAAAAACAAGGAAGTGGACAACCTACCCGTTCCCTGTGCAGTAACAAAAAGCAGAGTGTCTCAACATCCTCAATGCAGAACAAGAGGGAAAAATTCTGCTCTGAGCACCTCTCAGTAACTGAGGAACAGTGCAACCCACATAAATGGAAGCATTAGCCATGATGACCAGGCAGTCTTCAGAATCAGTGGTTCCTGAAAAAAAATTGTAAATATTTGTTAAATTAAGCATTTAGTGTTTGACATGGCTTGTTTTCAGCCTTTATTTCCCTTAAATCAGAAAACCCAAAGCTCAGCTGGAGCTAAAACTAGCAACAGATAAAAAGTATAATGAGAGGGAATTTTGAAAGCATGAAAGTTTCATAAACATGAGAAAATCTGCATCCATCAAGTGAAGTGATGTAATGGCCACTCTGAAAGGTGACGGTAACTGAGATTCTTGTTAATAGATTCCTTGGGGCAAATGAAATGACACTGAATGACCAATGTTTATATATATACACACACATATATGTATAATGCAACTTTGTTTTAGAACAATTTGGTTGCAAAGGAAAGGAAAGGAGGGAGCCCTTTTGGTTATTATCTATAGAAATGAAACAATATCAAAGTATAAAATAATCACTTAAGAAAATATATAAGGAAAAGAAGAGAAAGGATGAGAAGATTGTAGAGAGGAAACGTATCACCACCAGTGGATGCAGTGACAGGAACGGATTGTTGCAATTTCACTTAGTCAGTGATGGTTGGAGATTTGATCCATCAGGGGTTCGGGAAGACCATGAAACACAGATTTCAATGGGTTCAATACATTCAGGAGGGAGCGCCCAGGTGCCTCCCCTGGGGGAGTTTTACACTGTTGATCATGTGCTGTGGTCTGGTGGAAGGCCCCAGAAATGAGTCTGGGAGCAAGTCTGGGGCACTTTGGGGTCTTTGATGGGTTGTGACATCCCCTAAGCCATGACAGCTGCCTCTCATGCCAGTGTAATTGAGCCACTTCTGCCCCACAGGAAGGGATGAACACCTTCAGGCCCAGGTGTGAACACGAGTGTCCTGATAGCTCCCCTGGGAGGGGAGATCTACAGCTGGCCCAGCTGTGCAGGGAAGGACACTGGCATGATAAAAAGCATTATCCCACCTCAGCAGCACCTGCTCCTCACTGGCCTTTTCCCTTATCTGGCTCAAACCCAGCTTGTTGTTAAACAAAGGTCAGTGTGTTGTGGTCATCCTCTGGTGGTGGGTGCCCACCTTCCCTGTTCCTGGGCTGCTCTTATGCAGATCAGAGGATTCCCAAACCTCTCCTCCTGCCCTTCAGTCCAGGGGTGCAAACCTGGCCTCAGCAAAGCCCCTGTAGCTTTTCCAAATGGGCAACTGCTTGAGCCATTAACCATCAATGTTTCAGTCTCTCACAAGGGGAAGACCTTGTCAGAGATGATATGGAAAAGGCTGAAGTAGTCAACATTCCTCTTGCTTCAGTCTTTACAGGCAAAGCCTGCACCCAGACCTCTGCTTGTACCAGTGGTGGCTGGGAAGGAGAGGGATAAGTAGGAGCAGGGCCAGCACCTGCTGAGAGATGTTGGATGTACTCAAACACACAGAGCCAGATGGGTTACACTCAAGGTTGCTAAGAGACACAGCTGACATGCTTCTCAGGCAATAGTCTCCACCTGACTGGGAAAAGACATGTGCTCATTTTTAAGGGAGGCAAAAAGCACTGCTTACATCCAGCCAGCACCATCTCAGTATCTGGAAAAAAGCTCAGAGCTTGTCCCCTTAGCTGGATGAAAGCTAAGAATGTAATCAGGAAGATGTGACTCAGATTTACCAAGGGCAGATTACATTTGATAAATCTGAACAGCTATCAGAATAAAAGGTCACACAGCTAAGGAGACAGGATGCAACACACCTTGAGTGTCCTGTGTCTCCTGGCACCAGCCCCTGAAGCACACATACATTAGTAAGCCAAGGCCAGATGGATGTTTGGAGTGGCTGAAAACTTGTCTGGGTAGACAGAACTGAAGACTTGATGGCTTTAAGTTGCTTCACTTGTTGGCTAGAATAGTAAAGAGTACCCTAGGGCTGATACAGGTCAACATATTTATCACTAACTTGGATGATGAGACAGAAGATGTCCCAGTTCATAGCATGGTGGCTGAACTGGGATCTTTGAGGTCCCCTCTGGGCCATTCTATCATCAGCAAACTTGTGGATGATGCTATGTTAGAATAGTAGAGGTCCCCTTCAAAGGGGAACTGAGAAACTGCAGGGCTGGAAAGCAAAAATCTCATTACAAAGGTATACACCTGGGACTGGCTTAATCCAGTGTGAACAACTGTCCTGCTCCAAGCAATAATTCTGACTGGATGATGCTCAGAAGTGCATTCCAGCCAACTTATCTGCCATTTTAAATGTTCAAACAATATTCATATATGAAAAATCAAACACTGTGCATTCCCTTTCTAGGGGTAAAGAAAAGGTTCTGGGTGGAGAATTTTGTAAACTTTAATTAAGCCTGTTTGTTCACAGGTTTATTTAAGAGTACATTAATCCCTCACACTTCCAAGCACCCTACATAATACATCTCTAAAGAGTAAAGAAAGTGGAGGACACTCATATGCGCTGCAGTGGAAATATGGTGTGAAGCTTCAAAGCTGCACACTCAAACAGCTTATGACAGAGAAAGATAAACTGACATGCACAACATTCAAGGTTAGTCAGAACTACTCTTCAAGTGTAGGAACAGGTTCATAGAGAGCCAAGAGATACTTCTCATTCCTTGTAAATCTGCCTTTATTTTTTTTCTAAAATGGATTAGCATTACTCTCTATCATATATCATCACCGATCAAATTATATTTATTTCCATAATACCGTCCATTGCTTCTTTAAAGCATTAATATTTTACTTTGATTTAAATATTTTTCTGTGCATTCTTTAAGGCATGTAATTTATTTTCAAAATGTTTTTCATTTTGAATCCCTTGAAGTGGCACTGATCCAGCTTGCTGATAACTAATCAGGCCTATACTCTCTAGGATTTCACTAACACCTGCATTGGCTGGTCACTTAGTAATCTGTCCTGTTTGTAGTCTTGTGTGAATGAAGGCAGAGCTTCCACATATTAGGCTGCTCAGAAATGGAATACATTTACAGTCACTACTCAAAATGCCCGTCTTCAAGCATAAGAAATACTTCCTGCAGCTTTTAACAGTCCATAATTTTTAATAATTTTTCAGCATTTTATTCCACAGCAGCAGCTTGCAACTTTTAAAAATGGAATTATTTATAAGTCTTTTACCCCCAGTGAGCAAAATTACTTCAAATTTTTTTCCACAGCATCACAGAGTACTTAAAGCGTACTTAAGTGTTTAAACAAAATATTTTAGTACTTCCTACCTCAAATATGTAGATGCTATTGATAACAGAAGTATTAACAATCTCAAAATATTTTAGGACAACAAAATACACATCTAATGAAGTCTCATTCCTCTACCGTGGCATATTACCTGTAAACCCAGAGTGCTCAAAGATCAGTTTCTCAAATTCATGAGATCACTTTATGATCTGAAATATTTCCCATGGTTAAAGACATCTACATGCACATCATGGTTATAGACATCTAAATCTCCAACCAATCTGAAGTTCACTATCGATACATAATATTGGAAACAAAAGAAATGTCAGCCTAATTTTATAGTCACAGCTGAAAGACCCTATTGATACAACTACTATAAGGCTGAGTCTCCTAAATTAGAAATAACTCTTGAACCGTAGTTCAAGAAGCTTGCTCCATTTATATTATTATCACTTTCCAAACATGAAAAATGCAATAAAAATCATTTGCCATTTTTACTCTGCAACCAATGAATTCCAAAATGTCTTTTAATGAGCCCTGTTCTCCTCTACCACATACAAGTGTGACTCACGCCTTTACAAAACGTGAACAGCTTTTCCCCCATCTGTCACCTCTGCGATTTTTTCACTCATCCAGCTCTTTGGCAATTCCCTGCCCTTCATGAAGTGCTGTGCTTCAGCTTCCCAGGCTCCTGTCAGGTGGGATGTTCTCCCTTTATTCTCATCTTACCAAGCTGGTGCAGGAATAGCCACTCCAAGTACCCTTTTTTTTTAACAGAGGTTGGAAGGGACCACAGTAGGTCATATGGTCCAGCCTGCCTGCTCAAGCAGAGCCATTTGAGAGCACATGGCATAAGATTGCATCCAGATGGGCCTGGAGTATCTCCATTGAGACAGACTCCAGTACCTCTGGGCAATCTGTTCCAGTGCCTGGTCACTCACACAGAAGTCAGGTCTTCCTCATATTCAGGTGGAGCTTCCTGTGCATCAATTTCTGTCCACTGCCTTTTGTCCTAGTGGCTGGCACCCCAAGAAGAGCCTGGCTCCACCCTCCTGACACCCACCCTTTACATATTTGCATATTTTTTTTAAACCTTTGCCCCACGGAGTGAAACAAGCACTACTTTTTCATGACTTCTTCCTCTCTTCACTTAAAGCCAACGAGCCATCCATTCTCCATCCCCTCTGATCCACTGGCCCTGGGTTAGTATCCCTTGAGATATATGTCTGCATCTCTTCTTTCCCCCAGTCCCACAGCACTAATCCCACATCACTAGCTGAAGGGAGAACTACTTTTAGTTCACCCGCGTCACATTTAAGTGCAAATTACTAGGTAGGTTAATGCAAGAGAGTGCAGAGGGGGGCAGCAAGGGTACTTAAGCAGCACAGGAAGTCTTTTTCCGAAAGCTATCTCTCGGTAAAACAGTCCTTTAGACAAACGGTCCTTCCTGAAAAACGAGTCACAGAAAACGAAGTTTTTCGCAGGACTGAGGGGAACACGGTGAGCGCTGGGAGGAGGGCGGTGGGCTGGGGAAGAGGGGCCGGCAGCCTATGCCCAGCTGGGACGAGGCGGCACTGAGGCGGCCAAGGGGCAGGGGAAGCACATGACCAAGGGGCAGGGACAAGGCCGAAGGGCAGGGAAGGGGCAAGGGACAAGAACAAGGTCGCGGCAGTGCCCGGCCGTTCCCCCGCAGCCCCTGGGATCTCCGAGCAGGAGATCAGGGCTGGAACCGGCAGCGCCACCAGCCGCAGAGGGCGGCCCGGCCACCGCTTCCGACCGGCGTGCGGGGCT